ATAAAAAGCTCGCTCATAACCAGATCTGGTTATGAGCGAGCTTTGAGATCTGGGGTTGTATGGTTCCAATTCTCTTCACATTTTAATCTATTCAACATTTAAGTGGTTTCGTCTCGATTTCAGTTAACGAACACCGAATTTTCTTACAATAGGTTAAACATTAGCATTTTAGCTTTTTACCATTAGCGTAACTAAGAAAATCATGTAGCTCTTTAGGTGGTATTAAAGCTAATATTTTGGTTAGCTGTGCCCACCACTGCTTCAGGAAATGCTGTTTTTTTTTTTTAAATATTTAATGTTTGGTGGTGTAGTGGTGTGCTGCCTGTTGGTTTGTCTGGTTTTAAGGTTTCTAAATGTTTGAATTTCTGTTCYAGACAATGCCTCCCCATGGGATGGTCGCCCTTCAGCCTCCCCAAGCCTGTCGGAAGTAGCCCCCCTCATCGATAGCTTCTCCACGCCATCGTCTTCATCTCATTTGACCTCTGCCCCCAACCTTCCTCATCTGCCTCCTCAGGACGTCCCTCAAGACGACCAGAGCCCCCAGAGAGCCGAGCTGCTAATCCGAGATCACATCARCCAGGCCAGGAGAGCGGCTGCAGGCGGAGGGAGCGGCAGGGCCAAGAAGGAGAGTGGCAGGTCCACCCATCAGGGGCACAGGGTGCAGCAGCCCACTGCTGATGGGGAAGGGGGTAAAGAAGGGCAGAGTGAGCCGGGGGCTTTCGGGAGCTCCCGAGGAAGGTCCAAGGAGAGGACCGGCGGGGACAGCAGAGACTGCACTCACTCCCCCAGCAGCTCCATGATCCAGCACTCTAACGGAACCGACCGGGACGCCGCCGAGTGTTGGAGCGACGCCAAACCCAGGCTCAGGGAGCCGGATCTGGGCGAGAGCCGGTCTAAGAAGGGCGGGGCGGCGGTGGCGGCGGGGAGGAGGGCCACGGTCTCTCCCGGGCCGTGGAAGATCCCCGGCTCAGACAAGCTGCCGAGCGCGCTGCGCCCGGGCGCCTCCGCCTCGCTCAGCAGATAACAGGCGCAGCTCCAGCAGGAAACCGAGGCCCTCGCGACTCCCCACCCCCTCACCCCTGCCTCCATCAGACAGCAGAGGTGGTCTGGACCACGTGTTTATAAAGTTTTATTTATAGTACTGTATTTTAAATTATTCTAAAATATATATTTTACACCCACCACGTTAAAAACTGGAAAAATCATCCACTTTAACAGAGAAGAGCGTCGAAACTTTTTGTAGCGCGGCGAGGAAGGGATTACGGAAACATCGGTTTTGAGTTCTCACCAAGCTGAGCTGGACAGAAAGCAGTTTTAGTTTTTAATATTCTATGAACTGTGCACAGTGGAGTCTATTTTCTGAAGTGGAATGTTTTGAAAGCTGGTTTTTGACGAGTGAATGAAGCAGAGATGAAACCCACTCATCAGCAGAGCTTTGCCTTAACAGGGACTGTGTGGGCTTCAGTCCATCCAAACTAATCAAAGAGATGATTATARATATAATAAACAGAAACATGTGGGGGAAACTGTGTAAATAAGATCATCTTCATAGTGAAGAACCTTATAGATGAGCTGAAGTTCTAGTCCACCAACAAACGAGCAAAGCGGCACTACATGAACCTGAACCATCAAAGTGTCTGCTACTGTTTATTTTTTATTATTATAATTATTATTTTGTCATTTATGTGCTAAAAACTAAAAAAAAAAGAGAAAAAATCTGTGACAGCGGTGTCCAGAAAGACGCTGAGAGAAGAAACATGCATGACACCAACAGACAGGAAGTGTGCCTTAGACTGACAGAGTCTGGATTTTATGTTCAAGGTTTGTTTTTGTACAACTACCACTTTTAAATAAAGTTGGAATGTTATGTAAAATGTAAATAAAATCAGAATGCRATGATTTGCAAATCCTCACCTGCTGGTTAAAGCTCTATCATGTAAAGAAGCAGCCATTATTCAGAAACTTGGGTTATTAGAAACAAACAGAATCAAAAGTTGATATTTTTAGAAACAAAACACATCGTATTAAAGATGATTTGGTCCATGAGCTATGAAGCCTGCCTCTCTGATGGTATGGGGGTGCATTAGCGTGTAACGCATGTTCATCTTCTGAAAAGATTTTTTTTAAACAAATGGCGCAGTTTCTTAGTTTAAACATGTTTTATTGTGAATAAAATATAAATKTATTGGATTTGCAAATCATTGCGTTTTGTTTTTGTTTACATTTTGCACCACATCCAAAAYGTTTGGGAGCTGGAGTTGTACTTTGAGGGTTCAGAACAGGCTGCTATACAACTCTAAAAATGAATAAAACTGTATTTTAAAGTGTAATATAGTGAAATACATTTATTTCACAAGCCTATGTCAAATAGCTCATTAGCAGTTTTTTTTTTATTTGAGCAAATGGTTCACTTTGAGTCATGAAAGATTTCATCACGATTTTATATATTTTTTCTTTTAATGAACTTTGACACTTGTTAATTTCCCCGAAATGTCACTTAGAGCTTTGCAACGAGTCATTTTAACACGATTCTGCGTTTGAGTCGAGGCTGAGWGTGACGTGATGTAAGCGACTCTGTCCACACTGTGTGATGCTAAGACCTGCGTRTATGTGCCAAAGTTCACTGAAAGTTGGGTTTATTTTGTAGCAGGCTCTTTGAAGGTTGTGCTCTTATACAATCGCCTGACGTCATTACTACAGACCACCAGAGAGCTGTAGAYGAGACTGCTTTTAGAGACAGGAGGATCCCCCCCACTGCAGCCTCTACCAGGTGAGCTACAGACATTCCTGAGATTTTTATTTTAAAAACAAGAGCAGCAATACTGGAAAAAGTAGATCCTAAATGTTTCATACATCTATTCAGTGTTACAGGAGAGAGGAGGAGACTCTAGGAGGTGGTTTCCAAATCTCCTGTGACCCTGAAATGCAAAACACAATGAGAAAATAAAATAAAATAATAAAAGACGTTTAATTCTGAAAGTAAATTAAAAAAAAAGTTTTACAAACTATTTCAAAAGAGACAAACTACATGGCAGCAAAACATCTAAAACACTACATTTCAAAAACCAAAGGGAACAAACGCTGGCTGCGCACCATTTATGGCCCGGCTGACAAAGCGGGACACCGAGCGGGAGGAGTTTTGCACTTCATTTAATCAGCCAAGAAAATGTCCAAACGCCCTGCTCCATTCATTCCTGCTCACTTTGATCATCCAACTGATGTCAAAACTATTAAGTTTCACAACCAGTGTGATGATTAAAGTCAGTAAATCAGCTGAATATAGTAAATTATRGGCTGTTAAACAGAAGGCCTTTTCTGGTATTTTGCACATTGAACACACTCTAAATTAGGTTATGTCAACTAATTCCACTAAACCAAGTTAAGTAAATCCCTTTATATATTAACACAACTCGGCTTAGTGGCATCAGTTCATATAAACTGATCGAGAAAATTCAACACTTTTGGGCTTTGAAATAAAAGAAGAAAATTCTACAAAACAGCTGAAATATGTTCTTTTTTTTCCATCTAATTATTTTGATTATAAGATTTTGTTGAGTTTTCTGAAATATTGCTA